AGACTCACCTTGGGAATTATCTCCTCGACGCTCGATAGCAAGGAGGAAGGTAAAGTTGTTTCACTATAAAAGAGAGACAGATCCAGTGAGACATGGATATTGCGAGATAAAAGGAGATCGGCAGAATGCTGGCGAACCGGCTTACCTGGACAACGCATGCATAATTTCAGCAAGACCAATCACACTGCCCTGACGCATATACAAATCGGGGCCCAAAGTCCGCTCCAGAAGCCTTGGTATCACTGCATATAGAAACAATACAAGGCTATACATATCCAGCAGTAAAAGCGAACTCGCTGACAGTGAGGCAACAGTAGAAAATGTCTGGGCAACGTTATCATATGCCGAGGTACTTAGATATCGCTACACCCATCGCTGTGTCTTACGGGGGCGGTGTCAATAGGGATTTTATGGTTGGGTCATACCACAGGAAAAAATTTAAAAGATTAGCGTATAAAAGCAGAAAACAATAGGAATCAAAAATGTGCGTGCGATAATTAAAATGACAAATACAACCAATACGAAAAAAGATCTGCGCAAAAACTACCCGCAAATAGGCTATAAACCAATATCGACTCTATATCTAAATTTATAGATTAAAAGAAAACCACGAAAAATAGGCCTTCCTCATGTTTTTAAACTCAGAATAGCTTCTTATGCATTTGGACAGATATTGTAGTAAGATAAGCCGAAAAGTAAATTAAAAGATTAAATTGAATTAAACATTAAACCGACTAAAACTATAACTTAATTAAACTAATAAACTAAACAATAAATTAAAGCACCCACGGGAAGCTAAGGATTTCATAAAGTAGGTATATAAGAATATGTATCAAAGAAAAGGTGTATATGAAAATATTCCCAATACCTGATCCCAAGATTTGGTCCTTAGATCCGGGCGTCAGTTTGAACAAAGCCTTGCCAGCTAAATCTCGGATATTCTCGTCCCAGTGGCCGAGGCGAGACAAGGCAAGATGTTCGATGATCACTGGCGTGTACTCCGGGAAGGAGGCCACAAAACAACTTAAGGGGGAAAAGATTGGGGAAAGAAACCATCAGGTCGTCTGCTTAATCTTAAAACTTTTGGTAAAAGAAGCTGAGGTAGGCCCACTCATATAGC